TTCCTATGCCTTTTAATCCCCTTTCTCCTGCTCTCCCGCCCTGCTGCTTTGGGCACGCCTGAATTCCTCTCCTCACCTGGATCCCTGCAGCTGACTGCTCCTATGTCAGGGTTCCAGGCTTTTAATCCCCTTTTTCCTGCTCTCCTGCACTGCTGCTTTGGGCGTGGCTGAGTTCTTCTCCTCACCTGGATCCCTGCGGCTGACTGCTCACTACTGCCGTAGTGATACTGAAATCCAAGGAGGGGTTTTTATGAGTAGGATCATAACAGACTCTATGGCAGTGGGTGGATTTTTTGGTTTTGGGTGGCCTAAGACATTTGACCACAAATCAGAAGGCTATCAATTCCAACCCACCAGCCACTCCTCAGAAGTAGAGGTACTCACTCACTGCTGTCAAGTCGGATCCGACTCATAGTGACCCTTCCTTGGGTTTCTGAGGCGATATCACTACAGAAGTAGATTGCCCAACCTTCCTTCTGAGGAATGACTGGTGGGTTTGAACCACCAGACTTCTGGTTAGCAGTCAAATGCCTTAGGCACTACGCCACCAGAGCTCTTTCTGTAGAGATACTGCATTGGAAACCCAAGGAGGGGTTGCTACAGGTCTAACCAACTTAACCGCAGTGAGTTTTATTTATTTATTTATTTATGGTAAGCTCTTTTATCAAAAGTGTACAGGGAATGGCCACATTGGAGTCTGCTGTTGCTGAGTCCTTCTGAAGTCACTTACTTTTGCTTTTGGTTATTGCCTCTGCCATGTCTCTCAGCCCTACTTTAGCCAGATCAGTGGTTTAAATGGTGTGAAAAGTAAGGGTTACTGCACCACCTTAGAAGTGTGCATCTTTAAGGGAAGTGTTAATTCAAGTCTTCCCTGCTAACATTCTTCCTCTTCTAGTATAAGAATGAATGGAAAGGAGTAATTTTCGAAGTGTGATCTTTGAATACCCGAGTAACTTACCAAAAATTTAAAAAAATAAATAAATAATGAACTTTTGGAGAAATGTATAGGAATCAGTCTGTTTGGATTCACATAGATGTACTAGGACATACTTTGAAGTACACAGAACCATGTGAAACAGAAGCAGGAGAGAAAACCTCTGATACTGGATAAAGAATTGTGATTCTAGTTTTTAGTATACACACATTCTTGCTCAGTAGGTCTGAGTTTCACTGTTTAGCATATGGAAGCATAACAATACATAGAGCTAGTAGGTGCTCAATAAATACTTATTGGAAGAATGACACCATCAATAAGACCTGTCTAGATTGCCTAAGGCACTTGACTGCTAACCAGAAGACTGGCTGTTGAAACCCACCAGCCACTCCTCAGAAAGAAGGTATCCGTAGTGATACTGCCTCGGAAATCCAGA